AACCAGGCTTGCCAGCACGAAAGTGTTGGCTGGCGAAAACCTGGATTTCGTGCAGACACTTTTCCTCTGCAGTAACAGTTCGCCAGGGTTTAGGGTTTCGGGTGGCAAATGTGCACCGTCGCTTTAAGAGTCCCCTAGGCAATGTTGTACTCACATCTTCCTTGCATCAATGAGAATACACGATTTTCAGCCGAGCTTACGTTTTAGTTCACTGCGTAGTGCGTACACCTCTGATATTAGCAAGTAATATACCGTTGAAAAGCAGAGACCTAAGGCTAATTACTGTCCAAGTTTCAGCCTCGTATCATATCGGAGCTGGCTGTGACAGTGTTTTGAATAGAGGCGGTTCGAAGTCGTCAGCTTCTACTTAGGCGGTTTCATGGGCATCCGCGACCCCTAAGCTAGCAAGCAGTTGGATACATATAGCAAACCCTAATTTGGGCTGTACTCACTATGGAGTACCCCACTGCAGGCTAGACAATAATAACATTCTGACAGACACGGCCGGGCCAGCAGTGCGAGGTTTGGTGAAACAGTGCGCGCGAAGTCGGCGAAGCCCCGTTAGCAGTAACGGGCGAACAACGGCTGCTGCTGTACGCGATGTTGCAGGGCACGCTAAGGAATGTCGAGAAAATTCCTTACACTGCGCATTGCTTCGAGCTCGCGTCCATTTCCTTGGGGCATATGATTTCTCCGTTTCCCCTTCTGAGTCCACAATTTCAGGTATTTTCTGTTTTACAGAATATCGCAAGTCTGTTCGTCAAGTCCATAGCAATCGCGAGTTCTGGACAGAAAAATAGAACCCACTTGGATGGCATGCTACGTAGAGGGCATCAACCCTAAACACCATGAGGCAAGGTGTTTAGGGTTGTTGCCTCCCAAATGGCTTGTCATCCGAATGGGTTTTAGCTTCACCATTGGCCACTGTAGTGAAACCAGGTAGTCTTCGTATTTTCCCTTTTGTAAGTTTGGTTACAGGAACTGGGAAATAACGATATAAATTGCCCGTGGGAATCAGACCGGATCGCGGAGCGGGGCACTGTCAAAACCACTGCCCATCGGAATCGAAAACTAGAAATCAGGGCGGTCCGTCATTTCCTCGATGGATGAGGTACAATGTACATCTTATTGTTTGGGACTCCAAAAGTTTGGGACGGAGTTTATAATAGCATAAGTTTTGGGCCTTCACAATGCGTTACAATTGCGTGAATCTTCCACAGAGACGCAAATCGTTCGAGTTATCTTTCACAAACTGTCAAACGTGTTGAGTCCAAAAATCTTCGAAGAATCCAAGATGGAAGTGGGAACTAGTTCACACAAATATTTTAAGAATGTTTAGGCGTAGCAGTTGTTACGATGAAGGAAAAATCGACACGCAGTATATTCCCGTTCGTAACAGGAAACCTGCACTAGCGAGTAGGAATATGAACAGCCAGTTTAACACAAAACGTCACGTACAGTTGGGAGCATCTTGATGTGAGAATCCGAGCCACTAAACCACTGGGATAAATGAGCTTGTTCCAAGTGCGGTACGTTCGCCCAAAACCCCCCAGGTTAACATGCTTGTAACCCACCTAGGATCAATCCGGGATCTCAGAGTGCCGGTCTACTAACACTGGACCGTAATCGGCAGAAACATCGGGCAGTTACATCGCCAAGGAATTGGCGGAAACAGGTTCGTAACTGGTTCCCGCGCCGCGCGGTTAAGTTTTGCAGCAATAAGGGAATGCACCCCTTAAAGTACATGGCTAGTCTATGACTTTTCACATTCCCTGTATTTAAAACACCGTAAATTATGTCCGAAAATTTTGACGAACAAATGTGGCGTCCGGCACACGCTCACGCGTAAGGAAGGCCGGAGGATCAGGAGGTCAGACGAATCAGACAGCTTAAGCCCAACCCACCCGGTTGCGAATTCCGATGCGACGACTTCGATCAGCTCTGTCGCACTCGAACAACTGCTTCAACGACGATCAACTCTGGAGCAAGGACTCCAGATATTACGGAATGGCGATACGGGAACCTTCGAATCTTGAAGCTTTGAGCTGGAGTTGTAGCTGCAGAATGCACAGATTTATCATTGCTTTGATAGCAGCTACGCAGGCCCATCGGCCGACACCGACGACGCCAGAACGCAGTACCACAATGACTCGCCCATGGCATACAGTGTTCTGCTTCGCAACATGTCGACGACGGAGCAGCTGGGCATTCGCTCGTTCAAAACGAAGCCAGTTTTGGCACTTGAAGCTTGGCGGTATCTCATAAAAATTTACCACCCTAACGATTCAATGTCGAGCCTTTTACTCCAACAGCTGATGGAGGTTAACATGGGACCTGGGAGATGGCCAACAGCTAAATCGATAGTTGCCGGAGCATAAGCGATCCAATCGCGAAGCACGAGAGCTCAATTTCTGAGTAAATCTTCGTCACCATCGCGCTCGCGAGAATCGGCCCCGAATGGCGACCCTGTAAGGCGCTCCTCCGGCAACAGGGACCTGTCTCGGAAGCTGCCATCTGCACCGCAATTCTCGTCGGACGACATGACATGGACCTACATAAGGACCGTCCCGCGCTGCGATGAAAACGACTCGCTTTCTACGCCGATAATAGGGAAGAGTGACAGCCGCGGCGCCACTACTGCAAAATCTGCAAAACTTCCGGGCACTCTGCGGAGCGATGCAAAATCTATTACGGCGATCGCCAGCCCAATCCGAGCACTTGGACCGGCCGAGAAGACACACGTCAAGCCCAGGGCTTACAGCCGAAACGCGCAACAAGAAATCTTCAGTTCAAGAACAGCAGCCGGCACAACATGGAGGCTCACGCAACGTCGTCAGCAACATGGCAATGCATTACACAAGGGGAGCCCGTCGCCCGTGTGTGCATTCCGTTGCATTAGTGCACACAAAATCCGATATTCGCCTCCGACCACAACAACCCTTTCACCCTACAGCCATGTCTACAACGACGACGACGACCAGGATTGGAACTTACCAGTCCCGCTGCTTGAAAGCACCCTGCATATCCTTGACCCAGTCCGGCGCCCATTGATTGGATTCTGCGCGAACGCATCTTGAAGTACGATACCCTGCACATCGTCACGCCGCGACTTGCACTTCTGGCGCACGATGACGATAATTGGCAGAACACCTGCTATCTCGATAGCTATTGTGGCCAGCACATGGTGGGCCCGAGGCGCTTCATCTCCAACGCCGTCGCCACCCCCCAAAACACATATATTACCGTGGTAAACATCGAACGACTGCGCGCAAGCGTGCATGAAATTGTCGTCCTGAAGGCACACTACAACAACACCCACATCACACTAAACGATGTGCTTATCATGCAAAGCATGCGTTTCAACTTGCTCTCGGTATCGCAGCTCCCGTATTGCGGCGTTCAACTCAGCACCTCGTGATCGGCAAACGCCCATGCGGCAATTCATCTATCAGGGAAATGTCCAAATCGGCATAGCTTACCATGTTCAAAGTCCGTGGAATTGGCGCGGTAGTCATAATCAGCTGATGTGGATACCAGGTATTTTGCACCCCTTTAGCCCGTAAAGATAATCGCTGTTGCACCCCGAATCGGTGTTGTTAATCAGACTTAATTGTTTAAAATTTACCTGCTGTTGAAATGGCGCATAGGAGCCAATGAAGATTTGGTTTAAACTTGGAGAAATTGTTAAAGGCTATACTTCATAAAATGCTACCATGGTCGTGGGAACAGTTATTGATCCCAAATTGCAAGATGAATTGTGTGTGACCGTAGTATTAACGGGTTTAAACCAGTCCCATCCTAAACAGCCGATCAATACCAACGGGACAGCCGCTACGGCTGGGAAATTTTCTACAGCTGCTTTTCGGACACCATTGTCAGAAAAGGCACTTTCCAGTAACGAATAGCCCAATTACAGTCTGTTAGATAGACCGACTATTATGCGCCAGTCAGAAGCAGTTAAAAATGTCAGTGTGGAGCAAGCCGACCCAGAGCCACGCGATATCTGGCTTTACTTTGCGCCGCCTCACAAATCGCGCCGATACCTCGGACTCGCCCACATCGACAACGGTGTATATGTCCTAGATTTTGTCATCCCAGACAGCAGCGGCGACACAGACAACTTAATCAACCTCGTTCTGTGTCGCTTTGAGTACATCCAGCAGTCAGAGTGGGAACACCCTAATGGGAGACCCTGGGTGGCGCATCACCCGCACCCGTGCGGGACGGCACTACACGACCCCGACACCGACGTCATCTGTAGGGACTGCCAGACTCCCATAGTCCCAACGAATGCCAACATCGCTAGTCGAAGACTTTCCGTGATCGTCGAAGGTGAGCAATACGTGTCGTCGGACGAAGGCATGTCAACACTGGAGCTTGAGGGCATGACACGCTGTGTTTTCGGCACGCCAGAAGAACCGCTTTCATGACTTGCAACTGAACGGCTTCAGTCGGTCCTACGCTGACGAAGGTGGGGCTTCCACAACGCGCACGGGGAGCCTCTGTTAAAGTTATATTTAATATATCCTGCTTGCTGTAGTTACTAAAGTGTAGTTATCTGATTGTTTGCTTGGTGGTACACCTGTTTGTTTGCTATATGTACCTTTAGTCCTATAGTGAACCCAACCATTCTTCAATTCTCTCCTTGGTACAACTCTCTCGACACCCGCTTGGCCTAGGCTACTAAGCATAGGCCCTTAGTTAAACCCGTTCCTAGCTAAGTTCGTCTCGTGACATGGTATAGAGCGATTAAAATCCTGACCTAAGTTAATGGGCCCACCCATTCGCGGCACGGCGCTCGCTGCGACGGGCGCGGCGGCGAGCTGGCCGCGTTTCTCTCGTTGCCAGCCCGTCGTTTTTTCCCTCGTCGCCTGCCCGTCGCCAGCCCGTCGCGTTTTCCCCCGTCGCCAGCCCGTCGCATTTCCCCCGTCGCCAGCCCATCGCGTTTCCCTCGTCGTCAGCCCGTCGCTTTTCCCCCCCGTCACCACCTCTGCCCGCGCCTACGCCTGCCGCCGAGTTTGCGCGAGAGTGGGGAAAGGGGGGGGGGGGGGGGGCGGCATCGGGAATGAAGGGGACGGCGTCCGTGGCGGTCGTCGCGGCCCTTCCCCCCCCCGTCCCGTTTTCTTCCCTCCCGTCGCCTCGCTCCGCCCGTCGCACTCCCCCGGCCCCCTGCCCGTCACCCACCCCGTCGCGACTGTTCGCGTGTGCAGCGGCGGTCGCTGTGGGTGGGAGAGGGAGGAGGGGAAGGGATTGGCGGCGGAACTCTGTGGGGGGGAGTGGGAAAGGGGGAAGGGAGTGGCGGCGGAATGCTGTGGGGGAGAGAGAGGAAAAGGGGGAAGGGAGTGGCGGCGTATGTGGCCCTTCCAAAACCTAGCCCTCTGCCCCACACAACCCCCCCACTTCATGCCTAGACATGGGTGGGCATGGTTGGATCGGCGTGGGTAGGCGTGGCGTGGGTGGGCGTGGCTTACAGGAGGTTGAGAGAGGTGAGGAGGGCAATGGAGGGCGGCAGGGAGCCGGTGAGCTGGTTGCTGCTGATGTCGCTGGTGGGGGAATGGGGGTGCGTGGTATGGGGGAGATGAGGGGAGAGATGGGGCAAGAGGGGGTGGGGATGATTATGCATGGGTGGGTGGTGGTTGAGCTGTGTCGGAGTGGTGTTTCAATTCAACTTGTGGCCGTACAGACTGAGTCATGCTAGCATGGGTTGACTATGCATCTGGATATGCCGACATGGAATTTACTGAAACAGAGGCTAGTTTTGAGACGTCTCAAAACGAGGCTAGGAATACATGAGATGAGAGGAGCCAGACGCTATACAGAAGGCGGTAATGAGGTAGGTAGGCGAGAGAGGTCAGTGCACATGGCACGTTCTGTTCCACGTGCTCTAGCTCAATTTCACGGTGAATTCAGGGAGACATCCACTCCAGACATGCGTGCGTACAGAGAGGCAAGGTAGGAGGAGAGGCCGGTAGCAGGCAGGGAGCCCTCCAACTGGTTGTGAGCGATGGAGCTAGGGAGGGGGAATGGGGGGGGAGGGGGGGGGAGTGGAGGGAAGGAGACGAAGCAAGCACACATGGCATAGCAGGAGCATAGGACGCACAGCGGCCACATTGAAGCACGGAATGAAGGGAGTGGGCTTACAGGGTCGATAGCGAAGGCAGGGTGAAGACGGCAGGGGGCACCACTCCAGTGAACTGATTGTGAGAGATGTCACTGATGGGATAGGATGGATTGGGAGGGGCGGGAAGGCGGGGGGAAGGGGGTGGGGGGTTGGTGAAGATTAGGCACAAGCCAGCACTATCAGAATCTAATACGTCGCAAACAATATCTCCAAAGTTGTGATTCCCAGGCATGCATTCATGCATGCACCAGCATCCTTGAGGGCATTGATCGGAACGGAAGGCTGAGAGTAGAGGCAGCAAGGGCAGAGTAGTGGGAGGCAGCACAGGCAGGGTAGAGTGGGTTCTAAGCCAGAAGAGAAGATCCAAGCCAAACCAAACACAGTTGAAAATACGAGGATGATTCTTGATGGGTAAAACGTGGTCCCAAGTTCCGGAAAGCAAGTCAATATATGAGGCGCTTGGGAAGTAATCCACCAGACTAGAGTGAGAGGCAGGTGCTGGGAGAGGCAGGTGCTGGGAGAGGCAGGTGCTGGGAGAGGCAGGTGATGCAAGGATGCTGGAGACTAGAGTGTGGCTGCAAGAGTGGCTGTAATGCAGTGGTCACTACAGTAACGGGATGGACAAGGCACGAGATGTGCGTTGCATGCACCACGGTTGTGTGTGGTATGGGGTGCGATGAGCAAGTGCAGTGCAGGGTGTGCGAGGCTGCGATGAGCGTGCAGGAGAACTCTCCGAAGTGAGAGGGCATGCAGCAGGGGTGGGCGTGCATGCATGCGTACAGTCTGCTGTAGTGTGGAGCAGATAGCATGGCGGAGGGGAAGGGCCCCGTGAAGCTGTTGTTGGATATGTCGCTGCAGCGAGGAGGGCACAGGAAAGGGAGGGGGAGTAGGGAGGGGACGGAGGGTAGAGAGGAGAGGGAGGGCAGGGAGAGCAGGGAAGGTAGGCTATGGAGAGGAAGTGGGAGGAGAGGAGGGGGGGAAGGTTGAGAGTTTGTATGGAGGATGTTGAAATGGGAGACACAGGGGTATTGCGATTTGGAAGCAGAGTGGAGAGAGGCATGAGAGTGACATGGGCTGGGCTGTGGCGTGGGGAGGAGGCGTGTCATACAGGTCTGCGAGGGCGAGCTGTGCGAGGGAAGCAGGGAAGGCGCCTGACAAGTTGCACGACCCGATGTTGCTGTGAGGGAGGCATGGCAGGTCACGTGAGGGCATGGCAGGGCAGGGAAGAACAGGGCAGGATACGACAGGATAGGGGTCAACACAGGAGGGCAGGCAGGTGGGAGGGTGGGGAAGAACAAGGTAATGGGGGAGAGGAGTGGTGGTGGGTGGGGGATAAGCGGGGAGAGTGGAAGCGAGGAGAGGGCAGAAGGAGGACGTTTCTCAGACTGATAGTTCTCCCAGCACCAAATGCAAGGCGCAGGAGCAATTTAAACAACACAGCCGAGCTGCCACAGTCACAGAGACGAAGCAGTGAAGTGCAAAGGGTCACGGCATGCATGATGCTCTCATCTCAGGCATGCCGCAACGCAGTGTGGCGCTCACAGGGTGGTGATGCGCGTCATGAGTGAAAACACGTCCATGCCGCTAGAGAGAGCGTTGTGGCTGATATCGCTGTGGGACCCACGGGGGCATGGTGGCATGGCATGGGCATGGCAGGTATGGGTGAGCAGACTTAGACATTTGCAATGGAGGTGGGAAAATGGAGGTGCTAAAATGGAGGTGGGAAAAAGGAGGTGTGAAAATGGAGGTGGGAAAAAGGAGGCGGAAGATGAGGAGAAGCTGTAGGTGGAATGCAGCGCGACTTACACACTGGCGAGCGCAGCAAGGCCTGTGAAGGATGCTGGGATGGGCCCTGTCAGCCCATTGTAGCTCAGATCACTGCAGGAAAGATGGCGTGCAGAGGGGGGGACGAAAGGAGTAGCCAAGACATGAGTGTGTGGGAGAGAAGAAGTGCATGTGGAAGTGAATTGGATTGGGAGCGGGAGAAGCGAGGGGAAGGGTGCATGGTCTGAAAGGTCTGTATGCGAGTGGACTCTCACTCTGGCAACGAGGACTCTCACTCTGGCAACGAGGACTCTCACTCTGGCGGCCTGCTGTTGCTGAGCTGAGGCCTCAAGATAAGCACAGCCATGAGTTGACGGCTAGAGGTGGAGGTGGCGGAGGGGAGGTTCCATTCCATGGGTGGGTGGGTGGGAGCAAACTTACATGGTGGCAAGGGCAGGGAGGCCTGTGAATGTCGCTGGCATGGGCCATGTGAGGTGGTTGTGGCTCAGATCCCTGCCGGGAGATATGGTGGAGAGCGGGAAGTGGGGACGGGAAGCGAGGAAAAGCCAAGATGTGAGTGGAGGGAGGGAGGGAGGGAGGGAAGGAGGGAGGGAGGGAGGGAGGGAGGGAGGGAGGGAGGGAGGGAGGGAGGGAGGGAGGGAGGGAGGGAGGGAGGGAGGGAGGGAGGGAGGGAGGGAGGGAGGGAGGGAGGGAGGGAGGGAGGAAGGGAAGGAGGGAGGGAGGGAGGGAGGGAGGGAGGGAGGAAGGGAAGGAGGGAGGGAGGGAGGGAGGGAGGGAGGGAGGGAGGGAGGGAGGAAGGGAAGGAGGGAGGGAGGGAGGGAGGGAGGGAGGGAGGGAGGGAGGGAGGGAGGGAGGGAGGGAGGGGGGGAGGGAGGGAAGGAGGGAGGGAGGGAGGGAGGGAGGGAGGGAGGGAGGGAGGGAGGGAGGGAGGGAGGGAGGGAGGGAGGGAGGGAGGGAGGGAGGGCGGGAAACGCGGGGAACTCTCTGCTGTGAAGGCAGAACTACCATAATGCCGTCGCCTCACATGCCTCGCATGCCCATAAACTCACATGCCACAGCCGTCCACTCACATCTCCATGAGTTTCGGTGCAGCGAACGAAGCAGGAATGGGGCCCTCCAGGGCGTTGTGGCTCAGCGAGCTGACCAGAGAAATGGGGGCAATGGGGACATGAGGGGGCAACGCATGGGGGCACAGCGGTTGGATTGCTGTACTGACACATCCATGTGAGCTGGAAATGTATGCATGTGAGCTGGAAATTCATGCATGTGAGCTGGAAATTCATTCATGTGAGCTGGAAGTTCATTCACGTGAGCTGGAAATTCATGCATGTGAGCTGGAAATTCATGCATGTGTGCTGGAAATTCATGCATGTGTGCTGGAGATTCATGCATGTGTGCTGGAAATTCATGCATGTGTGCTGGAAATTCATGCATGTGTGCTGGAAATTCATGCATGTGTGCTGGAAATTCATGCATGTGTGCTGGAAATTCATGCATGTGTGCTGGAAATTCATGCATGTGAGCTGGAAATTCATGCATGTGTGCTGGAAATTCATGCATGTGTGCTGGAAATTCATGCATGTGTGCTGGAAATTCATGCATGTGTGCTGGAAATTCATGCATGTGTGCTGGAAATTCATGCATGTGTGCTGGAAATTCATGCATGTGTGCTGGAAATTCATGCATGTGTGCTGGAAATTCATGCATGTGTGCTGGAAATTCATGCATGTGTGCTGGAAATTCATGCATGTGTGCTGGAAATTCATGCATGTGTGCGAGCACTGCAAAGGCACGCAGGGAACACACGGTATCGAGCTTGAATAAACAGCTGTGGACAGATCTTAGTCAAGCAGAGGGAAGCACAGAGGAAGCCAACAACCACTGAACCCGAAACCCCTATGACCCATTATCACCACGTCCCGCCTCCCTGTCCCGTCCCATGTACTTCCTCACACTCCTTCTCCCCGTCCTCTCCTCATGGCTCACTCACAGGAACAGCAGAGACGATGGGAGCACAGGCACGGAGCCAACTAGGGCGCTATAAGAGAGATCCCTGCAGGCACACAGGCAGGCAGGCGGGAAGGGAGGCAGGCAGGCAGGCAGGCAGGCAGGCAGGCAGGCAGACAGGAAGGCAGACGCAGACAGAGATAGAGAGTGATGCTGCACGGTTCAGGGTGCAGCATTGCAGCATTGCTGCGAAGAACATGGGGTGGTGCTGTATTGCTGTGTCATAAGGCACGAGTCTGTTAGTGAGCAAGCCAAGCATTGGCAGGAGGCAAGAGAAGGGCAGGTGTAGATCCCCTGCCAGTCTAAGCGATGTCACTTGCATACCCAGCTCTATGGGGCTGCGAAATCGGCCCTAGTCCTTTCCGCACCACAGTAATGCAAGGTGGTTGAGGAGTGAGGCGAGGCGTACAGCTCTGAGAGGGCGGTGAGGGCTGAGATGGTGGCAGGGAGAGAGCCCGAGAAGCCGTTGCCCGCTGCCCTCCTGAAAACCATGTGTGAACGGAGTCGGGCAGGGTGTGCAGCAGAGCAGGGCAGAGAACCAGGACCCATGCATGAGTGGGGTGGGGGAGCTGGAATGCGGAATGCTATGACAAAAACACGCACAAGACAGAGGGTGAAAGCACTGCATGTCAAACAGGCTCGATCACATGAGCTAGATAACAGTGCGCTATCCTTGTCTCGTGCGGAATGGTTCATCTACCGCCCACGCAGGTGGTGGTAATTGGGTACGAACAAAGCATGCTGCTGTGCGTGCCCCTGTTGCAGCAGCTGCTGCTGGCTCTCTCTGGCCTTTATACAGCAGGCAGGGTGAGACGCGGGCCTGCAGCAGGCAGAGTGACACGCGCGCAGCAGGAGGGCAGGCAGGTAGGCAGGCAAGCAGGCAGGCAGGCAGGCAGGCATGCAGGCGGCAGCTCACAGGGTGTTGAGGCTGGTGAGAGCCGTCCAGTCGGCTGGAAATGGCGAGGAGCGGGCGGGGGTGAGGCCGCTGGGTGCTGTCACATCCCTGGGAAGAGGAGGGAGAGTAAGGAGGGTGGTGAGGAGGGAGCAAGGTGGGCGGGTGGTGCAGTGCAATAGTGCAAAGAGGGGTCGACAACAAGAGAGCAAATTAGTAATGTATAAGCATTGCTAGAATAACGCGAGAGAGTCACAAATGAGAAACAATGCTGATGAAAAGACAAGCAGAAACAGGCGGATAAAATAGGGTTGGTGGTCAAGGTAATTACAGGAATGTCAGCTGAGCGAGTCGTGCGATCCACGATGGCACGCTGGAGAACTGGAGGAAGCTGAGGTCACTGCTTGATGGGGGGGGGCGGGAATGGACGTGGTCACGTTGCTAGCACGCAAAAGCAATATTGGCTACTTGCCCTAATCACTGGGTAGAAAACGCATCAACATGTATCAAGGAGGAAGGAAATTAACCATGTACGACCACACGTTGTACCATTGACTGCTAGGCCAAACAGCAGCCCAACCGGAATCAACAACAAGCACTCCTGGGACACTTGATGTCCTTCCTGCTTGATGCGGCACAGCAAGCACAGAGAGGGCGAGAAGCAGAGGCCCTTAACGAAACCGCGCTGCGCACTGTGAGTCCACAACTCGTGGAAGGGTTGATTGTATCCCCATCCAGCATCTTCCCTTTACCATCCCTTACGTACATGTGGGCGAGTTTGGTGAGGGCGGAGAGAGATGCAGGGAGCTCTGATGCAGTGAGGTTGGTACCTGCAAGGGAGCTGGTGCAGGGAAAGAGGAGGAAAGAGAAGGGAGACCAGAGAACGGAGAGGAGAACAGGATAGAAAAGAGGGGGGAAAGGAGGAGAGAGGAAAAGAAAGGAGATGAGAGGAGAGGAGAATAAAAGAGAAAGGAGGGGAAGAAACGTATGGACAGGAAAACCATAGTGAAAGAGAGCGCTGAGTAGCACAGTGGAGTGAAGTGAACAGGGATGCGATAGAGCACACACCAGGAACGGAACGGCAGAGGGAAGGCACAAGCGAAAAGAGAGTGCAGGCGGGCGGGCGGGAGGGACAAGCAGGCACGTTGCCCTCAACCATGGTACTTAGTCAACGGGGAAATTCACACTCTAATCCTCTCATTCGGTCCGCACACCATCCCTCCTCACACCTGGAAGCTCTAGTGGGCGAGAGGGCATGAGGGAAGGCCGTGACTCACAGGAACGAGAGGGCGGTGGCATTGCCAAGGGCAGCTGGGATCTCCCCAGTCAGCTGAGTGGCGTGCAGATCGCTGCCGTGTGTGGGGAAGCGAGTCGGGGGTTGGGGGACTCAACCGTTGAATACGTGTGAGACTAAGCGTATGTGGGACAAAAGAGAAGCAAATGGGAGTCAGCGCATGTGGGAAGATTGAACAGCCGCACACTCCTGAAAGTTCTTGAGAGTGAATCTAATACACAAGGAGCAGCGAGGTTGAGAGGAGCGGGGGCGTACAGGTACTGCAAGGCGGGCAGGAAGGCAAGAAACTCCAGGCTGCCGTTCAAAGGGTTGAAGGACAGATTGCTGCAGGGAGGTGGGGTGAGGGTGGAAGGGTTGATGGGAGATGAAGAAGAGGGGTATCGACATGAGGAGCATCGACGCACAGGCAGGTGAGTGGATGTGGGCGCGAGAGGCAAAATGCAGCAAGAGACAGAGACTATGTGAAAGAAAGAACAGATAGAAACGAAGCAGGTGCAAGAGGATGGAATGGAACACGAAGGGTGGGAGGCTAGTACGGCACGGCATGGCGCTCCACGGCTCACAGTTCCTGGAGAGAGGTGAGGTTGCGAAATGCGTCTGTGGGAATGGGGCCCGAGAGGTCCTGGCCACGCAGATTCCTGGTGAGACGCAGGTGGGTTGCAGGGAAGAGCAAGGGTGGAGAAGAGGAGACGGATGGGTGAGGGGCCAGTAGTAAGGGTAAGGGGGTAGCTGGTCAGAGCAAGGTGAGCCAGGGAAATACAAAAGAAAAACATCTGCGTGTTTTCAATGACTAGAAAGGTTAGGTGGAAACGGGAAACCCGAAACCCTTAAGGGTGGGGGTAACGGGAAAGGGGAGAGTAACGCGAGAACAGTGAGCGGACGGAGGGACTGACAGGACTTGGAGGGCGGTGAAGGCAGCAATGTCAGCTGGCACGCGTCCAGGCGGGGTGGTGGTGCGCGCTGAGATGAGATAGTCCTGTAGCTGTCTGCCGCACAGGGATGGGGTGGAAGAAGAGAGGCGCAGCCCAGCGGCATGGGGAGCACGGGGATGGAGTTGAAGTTATTATTGGTGCGAGTTTCCAGTGTGAGGAAGATGGGATGCACGCACATGCGGACACACACACGCACGCACTCAAGCGCACGCAGGCATGCATGCACACGCACGCACACACACACACACACACACACACAGACATACACACACATACATACATACATACATGTACACACACGAGAGCAATAAAACTGGAAAGGCACGTGGCATGCTACATGGCGTGGTGTTGCCAGTCACAGTGCCTGAAAAGCGCATGCACACACCAGGATCACGCCAGGGCCTGATCCCAGCGTGCGTCTCACTCACATGTTGGTGACCATGCCTGTGTCGTCGCACGTGACGCCCGGCCACTCGGAGCACAGCTCGGCCGCTTTCCACCCCGTCAGCGCCACCAGCGCCGCCACTGCCGGTTCCGCCGCGCGAAGGAGGGGGATGGGGAGAGGGGGGGGAGAGGGAGAGGAGGAGAGAGGGGGAGGGGGGTGGGGAGGGGGTTGGGGAGGGAAAGGAGGAGGTGGAGGGGGAGGCGGAGGGGGAAAGGGGGAGGCGGAGGGGAGGGGACGGGAGAGGGCAGAGCGAGGAGGAGGGAGAGATGAAGGGAGGGACAATTCTGAGTGGTTGAAGCAATGCCGCACGCCAGGCCAGTAGTAACCATCGTGGCCGACGCTTATATCGCGTACGAAGGCAACTCACATTGCGAGGGTGCGAGCTTCACATCACCCGGTCGCGGGCTCGCCGCGGCTGGCTGCGCCACTCCGTCGCTCAGGCGACGGGCGACGGACGGACGACGAAATTCTGCGACGAAGGTGGCATCTGGCGAGACGCGTGACACGCGCGTGGTCACCACACTGCTGCTATGAGCGCCATCCAGGGCCGTGGCGGTGGCGGTGCCGGTGGTCGCGGCGGGGGAGAGAAGCGTGGCGAGTAGCAGCACGCAGGCGAGGAACGCCATGATGACGTGGCGAGATATGATGCGCGGCGCGTCGATCTGATCAGTGGGAAGCTAGTAGCTGAGTCTGAGAGAAAGCTGTGCCAAGAATGACTCGTTTAAATGACTGGAGCCCGGTTTGGGACACTGAGACCGGCCAGCGAGTTCGACTGTCGTGGATTCGCGACACTGTCCCGTCCCGAAGCGGGCTGAATCCGCCCGTCCTGGATTTCGGGACACATTCCTGGAGCCGACTGGCGAGTCGGCAACCCAGCAACCCTCAAGTCCCATACTTCCCATACGTGCGGTGTCTATGCCTGCACTTACTGGCATTTCCGCGAGACAACACCGACAAGGTACAACGTTCTGGCTTCCAGATGGCCTCACAAGTGTGGTCAGCGATTTTGTTCTCTCGGCCAGTTTTACTTCTGCTGTCCCACTCCCACCTAAGAGCGTGTAACTTTTTTCCGAACCACGGCCCGGACTTGGGGTGGTCCGGACGGTCGGCCTGGTTACTCTTTTCGACTTTTTTTTTTTTACTTTTTTTTTTTTTTGGTGAATGTTATTACACTATAACAGTGCATACATGCTCAGTCGTAACTGATATCTGGAAGGGCCAACCCTGGCTACACTCTGGATGTTACCGGAGCCCCCCTCCTGCAGACCTTCTAAGGAGGTTGTCTGATCGTTCTGGGGTTACGCCAAATGGAGAGAAACTCGTCATTCCACGTGGCAGTGTCACCTGGTACACTTAGTCGTGCCACTGCGGCTCTCTCATCCGCTTCCAGATCCCGCCACGGGTCTTTCCCCTGCTTCGCTGCTCCCTTCTTCCGCGCCTTGCGTGTCACTTCTGTGCGGTAAATTTGCGCATGCAGCGCGAAATCCCGGATTGCCCCCCTCGCCACTTTCTTCCGCTGAAAGTTCTCCCCTCTCCACACCATGTTGCACCTTGCCAGCCAGATGTGGCGGAAGGTCGTTGCCACCAGTGTCGTTGCTGGGAAGCCAGTCCGTGTCCCTCCTTCTTCAAACAGCACATCCCCTAGTGAGGCTGGGGCACTCGACTGATCCAACAAGCGTAATGACCGCAGCAGCGCGCCAATTACCGGTTGAACCACTGGGCAGTCGAACATGCAGTGCTCTAGGGTTTCATGCTCCCCACAGTGCGAGCATTTCGCCCGTTCTCCCAAAAACTTCAGCCTGCCGCCCACTTGTAGGTTCAGACTGTGCATCCTTAGGATCACGTCTCTTGCTCTGCTGGGAACAGCTGCTGCCTCCCTCTTGTTCTCCACCTTCCTTCAGTCAATCTTCCGCCCCCACCTTTCCTCCCATTCGCTTCTCTTCCTTGAGGCCGACGTGGGCCCAGTTAGCTCCCGCCTGATTGTTTTAATCTTCGCCGGTGTCCCATCCTCTTCCATAAGTTTTGACTGTCTCAGCTTTGTCCCCGGCGTACCCATTACGCCCAGCACTCTGCCCCCTCTGGTGATTACTGGTTCTACGCTCGTTGCTCTGAACGCCACCGCGACCGGCTGTTCACCTTCTCGCAGCGTCGCTTGCTCCGTCTGCTCCAGACTCGTCACCAACACTTTCCCGTCAGTCGTTCCTTTCACCTCCCAATACAGGTACTCCTGTGTCCTGGGGAGGTACATTCTCACTGTTTTCGCCGCTTTGACCACACTAGCCGCCGTTTTGCTCGCCGTTAGAAACTGCTTCCATTCATTTGGCGTTGCCGCATATGCCATCAGTGCCCACCTTGCCGCCGCAACGCTCCCTAGCTCTGTCGCGAGAGTCTCCTTGCTCTTGACTGCTCGTTCTCCCCCCGGCCCTTCTTCCATCAGGTCCTCAAGCTTCGCCGTGTGGATCTTCTCCGTCCCTTGCTGGTTCCCGTAGGGGCTTTTTCCCCTGAACATGACGCGGCGGTTGAAACACAGTTTCTCCTGACCAGCTTCCCATGTGTTCTCCGGCTCCGGAACGTTTGCATACGGAGATTCCCAGAAAGCTTCAACCGCTGCTTTCCACCGTTGGCTCCCCCCTGGCCAGTGTTTCGCCGCTGACGGGTCCGCGAAAAAAGTTGCTTCCTCCTGCGGCAGCGCCGCTGCCCTCTCCGCTAGCCATCTCTTGGTGCCCCCTTCTTCCGCGAGCATTTTCGCCACCATTCTGATTGCCATGCTGTCGATTCTCGCCTTTGGGTCAACAAGGCCCAAACCTCCCTCCTTCTTTGGCAGCCGGGCCAGCTCCCCACTCCACATGACGAAAATCTTATCCACCGTGGCCTGACCGCTTTAGACGTAGTTGTCACATGTTTTCTGGATCCGCCTCCACAGCTCCTCCGGTGGCGGGTATACTTGTGCTTGGAAAATGAAGATCGGCATTATGTATGCGTTGATCACTGTTACTCTTGCCGCTGTGAGGAGATGATTACTCTCCCACTTGACTAACTCCTCCTTCCCGCGCTCCCATGCCTTCTCCCAGGATGTCCCGCCGTCGCCGTCCGCCGAGATCCAGATGCCCAGCAGTCGTTCTGGTACACCGTCCACAGCCCATTTGAAATCCAACTCGTCCGCTGACAGTTTTCCTCTGTTCCTCCCCAGTGGCATCACCACCGACTTTTCCTTGTTTGTCCGTAGTCCCGACTGAGTGCCGAACCTTTCCAAAACTTCGGCTGCCGATCTCAGCTGATCTTCCCCTTTGAGTAAGAGTGTCGTGTCGTCGGCATAACCTACGTACGCCAGCTCTTCTCCTCCCTCTGGCTTCACCCCCAGCCTTTTCCTCCCAATCTCCAGGCAGAGTGGCTCTAGCGCGCAGAGAAACAGGTACGGGGCCAGCGGACACCCTTGCCGCACCCCCCTCTGCATCCCCACACGGTCGCCGACCCAGCCGTTGATTGCTATCGTCGTGCCGGAGCCCCGGTGAAGCCCTTCCGTCCACCTCACGAACTGTTCCGGTATTCCGAGCTTGCGGAGGGTTTCGAACAGGTACGGTCTTGCTACCGTATCATATGCCTTCTGAAAGTCAACCATGAGTAGATTCCAGTCTTCCCCCCGGTTTCCTGCCGCTTCCACCGCATCAGCAACCACTGACACCGCATCTGCCAGGCACCTTCCCGGTATAAATCCATGCTGCCCTTCTGAAATTACCAAATGGAGCTCTTTCTTCAACCTGTTTGCTAGTAGCTTTGCCAGCACCTTGTACACCGTGTTCAGCAACGTAATTGGCCTGTAGTTCCCTAATTGATCCTTCGGCCCCTTTTTGTGCAGTAAAACTGTGACTGCCGTGGTGGTGGACTCCTCCAGGTTCCCGGACTCCTCGAACCTCTTCGCAAAATCTACTAGCGGCGCTCCTAGCAGATCCCAGTGCTCCCTGAAAAGTTCCGGCGGAAGCCCATCTTTCCCCGGCGACTTCCCCCTCGGTAACCCTACCAGTGCCTCCTTCACCTCCTCCGCCGTCCATGGGGCGCTGAGTCTGCTCATCGCCTCCTCTGGCAGTCGCTTCGCTACTTCCACCGTTCTCCTCTCATGGTGCCCCGTCTCTGCCTGCTCGCTAAAAGCCTCTTTAAAATGTGCCGCCGCTGCCTTCAGCACCTCTTGCGAGCCGTAGAACCGCTCCCCTTTGTGTATCACCTCCTTGATAATCGTTTTATCCTTCCTTATCTTGACCTTGGCAGAGTGGTACGGCGACGGGATTTCTCCTTGTAGCTCAAGATCCAGGCATGCAAGCTCCTGCATTCTTTCTCTTTCGCTCTCCTCGTACCCCTCTAGCTGCGCCTCTCATGCCAGCAGCCTCTCCTTCGTACTCGCGTCTGCGGGACCCGCCATGACCAGGTGATTCAGCCTTGTTACCTCTGCCACCAGATGTCTTTTAGTGGCCGTAGCTCTCTTCCGTTCCTCCTTCTCATGTGCCCGTAAGGCCGCGCTCAAACGCGGTAGACTGTTTTCCAGAGTCCGGCTGCTCCCCCCCGGTCCCTCCATGAACTTTTTAATCACCTCTCTGACGCCCCTCCTGTTTGCTCTCGTCGCCTGGAATCTCCAGATCCCTGGGCCGCAGCTCTACGAAGACTCGATATTGAGGCTCACGTGGATGGCGAAGCGGTGGTCGGAGAGCTTCGGCGGCACCCGCACATGATCCGCTACCTTCAATTGACCCAGGAGCGAGGCCGACACTAACGCTCTGTCAATCCTGGTTTTCGTGCCCGATGGCCTCGCATGGAAAGTGTACTCTCGCAGCCCTGGGTTGAGCGCCCTGAAAGCGTCTTTGAGATCGTGCCCCATCCACGCGTCCAGCAGCCTCTGATTCTCTCTGCCAGATCCCGTCCCTGATGATCTATCCAAGTCTGGATCTGCAGTGATATTAAGGTCCCCAACCAGCACAAGGTGTGTCGCCGCCGCTTGCTCCGGCGCTTGCGTGAAGGGGAGGAGGTGTTCCGTGTGAAACTTTGTCCGATTGCCCGGCTGGGCTGGAAGGTATGCTGCTACCAGCCTGAAAACCGTCTCACCCCCCTCTACTGTGACCCCTAGCAGTCTTCCTGTGTGGTGAGATGTGACCTCCTTGAAGCGGATGTGCTTTCGGAAGGAGACAATCGCCACCCCTCCTGCTCCCTTTTCTGTGCCCGCCGTCGCCCACGCCGTTGATTTAAGCTGGGGCCAGAAATTATGGTCTTCTTTGATTCTCGTGTCCGACATCACTACTATGTCTGCGGCTTTCCGCATCCAGTTCCGGTGTTTGATTCTTTTGCCGTTGCTGCCGAGGCCGTTCACGTTGACCCCGCAAATGGTTATACTTGAGTTTTTATCCATTGATCAACCATGACATGAGCCCCTCGCATCCACGGGCTTTATTGCGCTGAGTGTACACACATGGTCCTACTGCCGTTGCTAACTCTTCCCCCTGTCTCTGAATCCTGCCTGCAGCTGTTGCCTTGTAACTGAGAGTTGGCTTGCAGGAGCCGTGCCTGTCCCTCTCTTGCTTCACATCCCGAATTCTCTCTTGACCGCCAGGAGGTTCATCTTCCCCCTGCTCTGGCGTGTCGCCGATCCCGCCTTGAGGCGCTCGGTGCAGTGCATAACCGAGGCCGCGTGCTCTGCCGCCTTCGCAAAACTGACGCCGTGGGCCTTCCCGCACCCCTCCTGGACACAGAGCCACTCCTCCCGCGCGCCGTTGGTAGAGGTGAAGACCATCGCCGGGTCTTCCATTATGGCCTTTGTAGCTGAGGTCAGCTTCAGGGAGGCCGCTGCTCGGAGGGGAGATGGTACAGAGGTGAGCTGGATCTTCTGCGGCTGCAGCAACCTGAAAAGCACAGCTCAGGCAGACACGATTACCATTCATCTCATGGACTCGCGCCAACGGTAAGTTCCACTTCGTGAAGTTGTCCTGTCGTTCCGTCACGTACTCATCATGAAAACACGACATATGCATGCCGTTGCAGAAGTCACAGGTGAGTGCAGGAAAAGAGACAAGCAAGACCGTGCCGTGAATCTTGTCCGTCACCCTATGCCACCACTTATACTTATCCCCGGGGTGCCGGTACACCAACCCCTTTATCTTATCCGTGTCCGACCCTGTCACCCGATCCACCACTCTGTGGAAGGCCGAACCCTCCAGGAAAGCCGTGCGTTTGCGCTTCAGCAGCTGCACCGTCACCAGACTCTTCCGGACCATTTCTGGCGTGATGACAGCCGGAACGTTTTTCAGCAGCACTTCAATGGCATCCAACTTCGACGACCGCTCCTTCAGGTACTCCTGGTTTTCCGGGTGTAGCCATCCGAGCGTCAGTCTGAGCTTGTTCATCGTCACATGCTCCACCTTCCTGCTCCACATGAAATTGGCGTCTGTCGCGCGCTCGAAAACCACTTGGATCCGGCCGAAGCGCTCCTTCGAGAGCCACGCCGGCGTGAGCTTATGACACTTCATTGTGATCTTCGCGTTCTCCGTCAGATGCTCTTCCCACAGCAGGAGAAGTCCACGCACCGTATCCATCGTGCGCGGAACCTCCTCGATCCACTTGGCCGGGATAAGTAGCGTGATAGCGAACCCCGCCTGAGACGCGATGTCATTGACTGCGTCCGGGTCCTGGCACTCCTCAGGGTCGTCGCTGAGGTAACCATCTTCCTCCTCAGCTTCCTTGACCGCAGCCTTCCCATTGCCTTGGATAGCAGGTGCCACGTCCGCGTCCCGCTCGCTGACAGACGTTTGTCCTTCCCTTCTCCTGGCAGATAATTGATCCTGAGCGCCAACGTCCTTGCTGACAGCTCGTTAACGGCTTCCGCTCCGAAAGGCCCTTGGACTCCGTTGAAGAGCGTCCTCGGTGTGACAGTGATCACATATCTCTTCGCAAGGTCTTTGGCGACGTCGCAGGCGTACGGACGGAACGTGACACTTTTAGGCAATTTTGGCGGGTTGTTCCGTCCGTTATGCGTCCGGTTGCAATTCGGACCATCCGATTGGTGCGCTTTCATTGGAGAGCGAAATCCAAAATCAGGTGATGTGACAGAATGATTGTTTTTTCGTAACATAAAAAGTTCTACAATAATGGTCCGTACGGGACTCTGTCTGGACTTAAGCCCAAAACGTTCCGAACCGACGCTGTCAGTACGGTAGACAAGCTAGTCCGGACATTAGACGGTTCAGAAAAAAATTACACGCTCTAAGCTCCGACATATTCAGACCACAATGTTCATGCGCGTTGCGCGTTCCTAAACTCAGTAAGTTCATAACATTTTTACCGTATGCAGTATTGCGCAGGATACATATGGGTCTACGATACACGCGATGGATACATTGGAATACGAATGGTCCTAATTAGCCATGTACTCTGAAGGGGTACATTCCCTTTGGGACTAATCAATGATTCGGTCAACTTGGTGGCAGCTCGAATACAGCACCACATCTTCATTAGCCAGCTGGCTGCCCATGATACCGTTACAACACCTGAGTGCTTCACCTCAGGATGAATCTGACCAACGTTGGAACTACCAGGCCGCACACATCTTGAATATAAGGAGAGGCAATGAAGCTGCTTCTCACATCGCAAACGCGAGGAGCGAGAGAGCAGCAGCAGCAAAGAGGCTGAAGGCAGCAGCCGTGGGCGTGGAAACGCGAGAAGCAGGCTTGGGAGGAGGAGGGGCAGGAGGAGTCTGGGTGGGGACAGATGGTGGCTGAGACACTGGCGATGCCGGTGCTGCAGTTAATTTCGCTGCTGTGGTTGATTCTGCCGCTGCAGTTGATGCCGGTGCTGCAGCTGATGCCGGTGCTGCTGTGGGTGCTGCCCCTGGAGCATGGGGCAGAATTGCATGCAGTGACAGACACATACCACTCAACTACCAACGCACAAAAGCTGCATGGACATACGTGAGAAAGCTGTTATGTACAGTAACGTGCATACATATGTACATTGAACATGATGCACCTGGGGGTGCCAGCAAGCAAGCAAGCACCCACATGCACCAAGGCACGGCCACATACATTTGAGGGGCGTGCAGGAGGAGCAGAAGGAGGAGCAGAGGCGGCAGAAGGAGGAGGTGTTGCTCTGCTTCACCCCACACTCGCTGCCGTCTGCCGGGCAGGTCAGCCCTGAGCCAGAGGTGTTGCTGGGGGTGGGGTGAGAGAGGAGGGGGGGATGCATATAGGTGAGCCTCAAGCGGAAAATAGAGTAGAGGAGCAGTGTGGCCGGAGCAACATGCTAATGTGCTGATGATCGCGTGATGTGCGGAGAGAGGGCGTGCATGCATGCATGTGGTGGCCTGGCTTAAAGAAGCACAGATCTGGCATGGATGCATCAGAGGCATGGGTGCACGGGAGAATGGGAGCAGGACTCACAAGGAATAGAGGTTGTCCAGGATGCCAAACACAGGAGATATGGGACCAGTCAAGTTGTTGCCTCCAAGGCCCCTGCCATTTCGTTGACATCACACGCCATGCCATTCCACGTTACACCATGCCATAACATGCAAGTCCAAGCGACCCACAAATGAGCATTTCAGCGAGCATCTTCGCTGCTTCATAGTGCCTGCAAGCCATTGGCCCCATAGAGTTGCACAAGGTGATAGATAAAACGAGCATGTATCGCCCTTCCCAAGCCATGCCCCTTCCCCTCCCCCCACCCACCCCCCTTTTCCTTCCCCCCCCACCCCCCTCATGATTCCTTACAGGGATTCCAGGAAGATGAGGAGGGTCGCAGACTCAGGCAGAGGGCCGCTGAGCTGGTTGTCGCTGATGTCACTGGTGAGGGGAACGGAACGAGGTTGGAAGAGGAGGGGAGAGAGAGGGGGCGAGGATGGTTATGCTTGAATGGGAGGTGTTTGCGTTGCTGCAAAATGGGGCTTGAACAGACAGATACCATGCTCGAGTGGGTGGAACGTGGTGTTATAAGCACTGAGTCGTACTCTCTCAGGGGTTGACTTGCCATCCGGGCAAGAAGAGAGATAGGGGCATGCAGAAACAGAAGCATGGATACACAGAAAATGGTAAGGAGGCAGGGGAGAGAGGCAGGTGCGCACAAAGCACTTTTATTTGCTCCACGTGGAGAAGTGAAGCCCATCCCCAGTGGGCATTCAGCCCTTCCCCAGTGGGCATTCAGCCCTGTCCAGTCCCAGCATGTGTGCGTGCGCAAGCCCAACCCACTGGGCATCCTTAACCCCCAGCAGCGTCTACCAGTCCCGGCATGGCATGTGTGCGTGCGTACAGAGAAATGAGGTACTCAGAGAGGCCGGTGGCAGGCAGGGAGCCCTCCAGCTGGTTGTGAGCGATGGAGCTGGGGCGAGGGAGAGGGGTGGGGGGTTTGGTGGGAGGGGGATGAAGCAAGAACACATGGCATCAGGAAGGGATGCACGGCAGCAGCAAGAGATGTACGGCAGAGGCAAGGTGCACGGGGAGGGTGGTAGGGAGTGGGCTTACAGGGCTGTTAGCGAAGGCAGGGTAAAGACGGCAAGGGGCACAACTCCAGAGAACTGATTGTGAGAGATGTCACTGATGGGGTGGGGATGCATTGGGTGAGGGGGAAGAGGGGGAGGGAGAGGGGGAGGGTGGAGAGGGTGGGGAGGGGGGGGTGGTTTAAACCAGCACTGCCAGCATAAATTACGCCAGAAACATTGAACGTTGTCAACGCTGTGACCCAAAGGTATGCATTCATGCATGCAGGAGGCACCTGAAGGCATTGACAGAGGGCTCACAAGCTGTTGACTGTTGTGAGCGTTGTGAGCTGTGCTGGCAGTGAGCCCGAGAAGTTGTTGGCTGATAGATTGCTGCGAGGAGACAACAGAGGCGGATGAGTAGATTACATAAGCCTGTTGCTTGCTTCTAGCCGAACACAATTCAGAGTATGAAAATGATTGTTGCTGGGTTGAGTCATTGGAGATTCAAAAGAAAGAAAGAAAGAAAGAAAGAAAGAGAAACACTTCATGGACCCAGATTTGTAAATGAGATGGGAGAGGCACGTGTGGTGGGAGAGTGCTAGAGACTGGAGTGAGAGAGCATGCAGCAGGGGTGGGCATGGCATGTGTGCATGCATACAGCCTCTTATACAACGGTGCGGAAAGCATGGCGGAGGGGAAGGGCCCCGTGAAGCTGTTGTTGGATATGTCGCTGCAGAGAGGAGAGAGAGGGCAGGCAAGGGGGGGAGGGAGGGCAGAGGGGGCGGAAAGGAGGACGGGCAAGGAGGGGGGGGCAGGAAGGGTAAGAAAGAGGGTGGGAAGTGAGGGTGGGGAGGGCAATATGTGTAAGCTGCAGGGAGGGTAAGGGGAGAGGAGTAAGGTAGGGAAGGAGGAAGGTTAAGAGGATGTTAAATGTGAGTGTGTGGTGTGCATCGTGAGCAGAGTGAGGGAGCAGAGTGGGGGAGATGCATGAGTGACGTGGGATGGGGAGGAGGCGTGTCATACAGTTCGGCGAGGGCGAGCTGTGCGAGGGGAGCAGGGAAGGCGCCTGACAAGTTGCACGACCCGATGTTGCTGTGTGGCGCAGGGCAGGGCAGGGCAGGGCAGGGCAGGGCAGGGCAGGGCAGGGCAGGGCAGGGCAGGGCAGGGCAGGGCAGGGCAGGGCAGGGCAGGGCAGGGGTCACCACAGGAGGGCAGGCAGTGTGGCAGCGAGGAGGCAACTCCACAAAAGGACACCGCACGCAGGAGCAAAGGGAAACGACCAGACTGGGCTGCAATTGATACGAAGCAGTAGAGCAGAGCAAGAGCGAAGGGGCACAGCACGACATCGCAGGCATGGCGTCGCAGCGCGGTGCAATGCGATGCAGCGTGGCACGATGAATTGCAGCGTGGCAAGATGAACTGCAGTGGTGCTCACAGGGTGGAGATGTTGGTCATGCGTGCAAGCACGTCCTGTCCGCCCGAAAGAGCGTTGTGGCTGATGTCCCTGTGGGGGACAATGGGGCATGGGTATGGCATGGCAGGGGTGAGGCACAGGGGTGGAAGGTATGGGGTGAGCAGACTTGCATATTTGCGATGGAAGGAAGTGGGAGAGGAAGGTGGGAGGCGGAGGTGCCACAGGGGGAAGGGGATGCAGCGTGACTTACACATTGACGAGCGCAGGAAGGTTTGCCAAGGATGTAGGGATGGGCCCTGACAGATCGTTGTAGCTCAGATCCCTGCCGGGAGAGACGGCGTGCAGGGGGGAAGAGAAGCGGGGGAGACGAGAGAAGAAGCCGAGATATGAGTATGTGGGAGGGTGGTGTGCGTGTGGAAGGAAGTGAGTTGGATATGGGGGCTGTTTGGGTGGGGGTGTTGGGCCGGTGCATCTGACCCACGGCTGGGAATGGAATGGTGGCGGTGGCATGAAGGTGGCAGACGAACGTGGGAGATGGAGGTGGGAGATGGAGGTGGGAGATGGAGGTGGGAGATGGAGGTGGGAGATGGAGGTGGGAGATGGAGGTGCCATAGGTGGGTTGAAATGAAGGGACTCTCAGAGTGGCAAGGGCAGCGAGGCCTGAGAATGATGCTGGGGTGGGCCATGTGAAATGGTTGTGGCTCATTTGCCTGTGGGATGGGAGAGATGGAGTGGGTCAGACGCCTGGACGCTCATCATGAAGTTGTCGCATCCCATGCATCCCATGCTTCCCATGCCCCACATGCCCCACATGCCTCGCATGCATGCTCATGCATCTCAAAAGCCACAACCCGCCACTCACATGACCTCCAGGAGTTGCGGGGCAGCAGGAGAGGCGGAGAAGGGGCCCTCCAGGGCGTTGTGGCTCAGCGAGCTGACCAGAGCAAGCAATGGGGAAATGGGGGGCAACGCAGTGGGGTTATTGGGGAGGGCTGTCCATGCGAAGTGGGAAGTTATGCATGTGCGTGCGCGCTGTGCAGGCAAGCAGGGAGCATGCACTGTTTGAATCGAATGGACAAGCGTGGCAGGATTGTAGGCAAGCAGAAGAGGAGAGCAGAGAGGAGAGCAGAGAGGAGAGCAGAAGAGGAGAGCAGAGAGGAGAGCAGAGAGGGTGGCACGGAGCACAGTCAGCAGCAGATTCAGGGATTCACCAGCAGCAGGGTTTACGGTCAAGGCAGGGAGGGAGGCAGGGAGCCCAGGAGCACAGTCCCTATAGCCCAGTATCCACATGCCTCTCCTCCTCTCAGCCGTCCTCTCCTCTTGGTTTACTCACAGGAAAAGAAGAGACGAGGGCAACACAGGCAGAGAGCCCGCCAGGGTGTTATAGGAGAGATCCCTACAGACAAGCAGGCAGACGGGCAGGCAGGCAGGCAGGCACGCAGGCAGGCAGGCAGCGAGGGAGAGGTGCTGCACGGTTCAGGCTACAGAATATTGGGCACAGCAACACTGTTGCGGCAAATCTGCGACATGGTGAGGGTAAGCCACGAGTGTGCTAATGAGAAGGTGCCCGAGCAGTCATGAGAGGCGTGGCGTACAGCTCTGAGAGGCCGGTGAGGGCGGAGTGGAGATGGCGGCGGGGTAAGGCACGAGTGTGCTAATGAGAAAGGTGTTGAGGACTCATGGAAGGAAGGCGCACAGCTCTGAGAGGGCGGTGAGGGCGGAGATGGCGGCGGAAAGGGAGTCTGAGAAGCCGTTGCCCGCTGCCCTCCTGAAATGGGGGGGAGAGGAGTGGGGTGGGGTGTGCAGAGAGCAGAGCAGAGAACCATGAGTTATTAATGAGTGGGGGAGCTGGAAATCAGGACCATATGGCACACACACACAGGGTGAAAGGGCTGCAGCCAAACAGGCTCGTTCCACTGATGTGGATACAGTGCTCAATCCTTGTCTCGTGACATGGGTCGACCAGCCGCCTACGCCGGCGACGATGCTGCGGCTGCTGTGCGTGCCTGCCTGCCCCTGTTGCAGCAGCTGCTGCTGGCACGCTGCGGCCTCGATACACATGACAGGGTGAATCGTGGGCAGTAGGCAGAGTGACAAGCGAGCAGCAGGCGGGCAGGCAGCAGGCAGGCAGGCGGGAAGGCTGCTCACAGGGTGTTGAGGCTAGTGAGAGCCGTCCATTCGGCTGGAAAGGGCGAGGAGCGGGCGGGGGTGAGGCCGCTGGGTGCTGTCACATCCCTGGGGAGAGGAGGGAGAGTAAGGAGGGTGGTGAGGTGAGGAGAGTGCAAGGTGGGTGGTGAGGGGAGAGCATAGTGGGCGGTGAGGAAACAGCACGGTGGATGGTGTGCAGTGTAATAGTGCAAAGAGGGGCCGACACGACAGCGTGAGAGTGACATGAGATTGCTAGAGCTCAGAGCAACGTGAGTGAGAGTCACAAAAGAGAAACGATGCTAGAGGAAAGAAAAGAAGAAACGGGTGGAAAGAGCAGGGTTGATGGTTGCAATTACAGGAACTGCAGCTGGGGAAGTTGTGCGATCCACGATGGCACGCTGGTGAACTTGAGATAGCTCAGGTCCCTGCTCCATGGGGAAGGGCAGGAAGGGCGGGAAAGGGTGGGAAGTTGCATGCACAAGCAATACGAGCAACTTTCCTTAATCACTGAGTAGAAAATGCATCAGCAGGATATCAACCACTCACGACCAACCGTTGTACCGTTGCCATCTGACCTTTACAGCCCAACCTGAATGAGCAACATGCACTCATGGGCCACCTCATGGGGCACTACCTTACACCCTACTTGGTGCGATGCAGCAAGCACAGGCACACGGAGGGCGAGAAGCAGCGGGAAGCAGAGGGAAGCAAAGGGGGCGTCAGCAAGCTACGGTGCGCACTGTAAGTCCACAACTCGCGGGGGGGTTGTGTGTCTATCCAGTATCCAGTATGTACCCCTTTCAGTCCACGATCCAGTTACGTACAGGTGGGCGAGTCTGGTGAGGGCGGAGAGAGAGGCATGGAGCTCTGCTGCAGTGAGGTTGATGTAGGCGAGGGATCTGGTGGGGGGAACGAGGAGGAGGAAAGAGAGGAGAGACCAGAGAGCGGAGAGGAGAACAGGGGAGAGGAGGGGCGAGTAACGAAGTAGAGAGGAGAAGAAAGGACAGGAGAGTGACACACACACACACACACAATCATAGTGAAAGTGACCGCGAATTGTAGCACAGAGTGCAGCAATAGAGCACACACTGAAGGAAAGGAACGGCCAAGGCACAAGCGAAAAGAGAGAACGCAAGCGGCCGGAAGGGACACACCAGTGCACGTGGCCTCTTAACCCGGTTACCTGGTTACCTAGTCAAAGCGAAAAAAAAACCACTCTCTGAACTGAATGCACATCTCCTCTTATTCCTTTCACACCCCACCCCTGTGGCTCACACCTGTATGCGTCAGTGGGCGAGAGGGCAGAGCAGGGAGGGAAGGCCGTGACTCACAGGTACGAGAGGGCGGTGGCATTGCCGAGGGCAGTGGGGATCTCCCCAGTCAGCTCAGTGGCGTGCAGATCGCTGCCGTGTGTGGGGAGGGGAGGACAGATGGGCGGTTGAGTGCGCATGCATGAGACTGAGTGCATGTTGGGTTGGAGCAGAGCAGTACAAAAGCGATTGAGTGTCGGCATATGTGGGGTGAATGAACAGCCGTGCACTCTTGAAAGATTTCAAAAGGGGATCCAGTACACAAGGAGAAGTGAAGTTGAGAGGAACGGGGGCGTACAGGTGTTGCAAGGCGGGCAGGAAGGCAAGAAACTCCATGCTGCCGCTCAAAGGGTTGGAGGAGAGATCGCTGCAGGGGATGGGGTGAGGGTGAGAGGGGCGATGGGATGGGAGATGAGCAGGAGGTTTATGAGCATGAGAACCATCGGTCACAGGATGTGGGAGAAAGAGGAAGGGAGCAAGAGGCGGAGTATGGATGCTGACTGGTCCTGAGCTTGCGAGTTCTCGACAACGTTAAAGTGAGGAGCTATAATCAAAAGAGGAGCAAGAGCACGGCACGGCACAGCATGGCGCAGCATGGCACAGCATGGCAGCATGGCACAGCATGGCACAGCATGGCTCAGCTCACAGTTCCTGGAGAGAGGTGAGGTTGCGAAATGCGTCCGTGGGGATGGGGCCCGAGAGGTTCTGGCCGGCCAGGTTCCTGGTGAGACGCAGGTGGGATGCAGGGAAGGAGAAGAGGAGACAGATGAGGGGGCGATTGTAGAGGGGGCGATTGTAGAGGGGTGGATGGTCTGACGAAGGTGAGTGAGTGAGCCAGTGGAGAAAAGAGCGAAGCGGTGAGTTTCCAACATATCAAAAGGCTGAGTGGAGGAGGGTGGGAGAACGGGGAAGAGGCCTGTTAGGCGAGAACGAGAACGGGAGGAGGGACTGACAGGACTTGGAGGGCGGTGAAGGCAGCGATGTCGGCGGGCAGGCGTCCAGGCGGGGTGAGGGTGCGCGCAGAGATGAGCTCTTGGAACTCTCTGCAGCACAGCGAATCAGAGATGGGGTAGCAGAGGGCGCAGCACAGCGGCATGCAGCATGGGGTGACGGGGAACACGGAGATTGACTTAAGCTACATTGGTGGAGTGGAGACTCTTCATCGTGAGGAAGAAAGGATGCACACACATGCAAACGCATGCACACAGCACACGCATGCACACACATGCACACACATGCACACGCATGCACATGCATGCACACGCACGCACACGCAACGCACACACATGCACGCGCATGCACACGCAACGCACACGCATGCACACGCACGCACACGCATGCACACGCACGCACGCACGCACGCGCACACACACACATGCACACCCACGCACAGGCATGCACACGCATGCACACACAGAGTGCCTTTTAGACCCAGCAGCAGCATACAGGCCTGAACCTAGCGTGCCTCTCACATGTTGGTGACCATGCCTCTCACATGTTGGTGAACATGCCTCTCACATGTTGGTGACCATGCCTCTCACATGTTGGTGACCATGCCTCTCACATGTTGGTGACCATGCCTCTCACATGTCGGTGACCATGCCTCTCACATGTTGGTGACCATGCCTCTCACATGTCGGTCACCATGCCTCTCACATGTTGGTGACCATGCCTCTCACATGTTGGTGACCATGCCTCTCACATGTCGGTGACCATGCCTCTCACATGTCGGTGACCATGCCTCTCACATGTTGGTGACCATGCCTCTCACATGTTGGTGACCATGCCTCTCACATGTCGGTGACCATGCCTCTCACATGTTGGTGACCATGCCTCTCACATGTCGGTGACCATGCCTCTCACATGTTGGTGACCATGCCTCTCACATGTTGGTGACCATGCCTCTCACATGTCGGTGACCATGCCTCTCACATGTCGGTGACCATGCCTCTCACATGTCGGTGACCATGCCTCTCACATGTTGGTGACCATGCCTCTTACATGTTGGTTACCATGCCTCTCACATGTTGGTGACCATGCCTCTCACATGTTGGTGACCATGCCTCTCACATGTCGGTGACCATGCCTCTCACATGTCGGTTACCATGCCTCTCACATGTTGGTGACCATGCCTCTCACATGTTGGTGACCATGCCTCTCACATGTCGGTGACCATGCCTCTCACATGTTGGTGACCATGCCTCTCACATGTTGGTGACCATGCCTCTCACATGTCGGTGACCATGCCTCTCACATGTTGGTGACCATGCCTCTCACATGTTGGTGACCATGCCTCTCACATGTCGGTGACCATGCCTCTCACATGTCGGTGACCTTGCCTCTCACATGTCGGTGACCATGCCTCTCACATGTTGGTGACCATGCCTCTCACATGTTGGTGACCATGCCTCTCACATGTCGGTTACCATGCCTCTCACATGTTGGTGACCATGCCTCTCACATGTTGGTGACCATGCCTCTCACATGTTGGTGACCATGCCTCTCCTCTCACATGTCGGTGACCATGCCTCTCCTCTCACATGTCGGTGACCATGCCTCTCACATGTTGGTGACCATGCCTCTCACATGTTGGTAACCGTGCCTCTCACATGTCGGTGACCATGCCTCTCACATGTCGGTGACCATGCCTCTCTCATGTTGGTGACCATGCCTCTCACATGTCGGTGACCACGCCTCTCACATGTTGGTGACCATGCCTCTCACATGTTGGTGACCATGCCTCTCACATGTCGGTGACCATGCCTCTCACATGTCGGTGACCATGCCTCTCACATGTCGGTGACCATGCCTCTCACATGTCGGTGACCATGCCTCTCACATGTCGGTGACCATGCCTCTCACATGTTGGTGACCATGCCTCTCACATGTTGGTGACCATGCCTCTCACATGTCGGTGACCATGCCTCTCACATGTCGGTGACCATGCCTCTCACATGTCGGTGACCATGCCTCTCACATGTCGGTGACCATGCCTCTCACATGTCGGTGACCATGCCTCTCACATGTCGGTGACCATGCCTCTCACATGTTGGTGACCATGCCTCTCACATGTTGGTGACCATGCCTCTCACATGTCGGTGACCATGCCTCTCACATGTCGGTGACCATGCCTCTCACATGTCGGTGACCATGCCTCTCACATGTCGGTGACCATGCCTCTCACATGTCGGTGACCATGCCTCTCACATGTCGGTGACCATGCCTCTCACATGTTGGTGACCATGCCTCTCACATGTTGGTGACCATGCCTCTCACATGTTGGTGACCATGCCTCTCACATGTCGGTGACCATGCCTCTCACATGTCGGTGACCATGCCTCTCACATGTCGGTGACCATGCCTCTCACATGTTGGTGACCATGCCTCTCACATGTTGGTTACCATGCCTCTCACATGTTGGTGACCATGCCTCTCACATGTTGGTGACCATGCCTCTCACATGTCGGTGACCATGCCTCTCACATGTCGGTTACCATGCCTCTCACATGTTGGTGACCATGCCTCTCACATGTTGGTGACCATGCCTCTCACATGTCGGTGACCATGCCTCTCACATGTTGGTGACCATGCCTCTCACATGTTGGTGACCATGCCTCTCACATGTCGGTGACCATGCCTCTCACATGTCGGTGACCATGCCTCTCACATGTCGGTGACCATGCCTCTCACATGTCGGTGACCATGCCTCTCACATGTCGGTGACCATGCCTCTCACATGTTGGTGACCATGCCTCTCACATGTTGGTGACCATGCCTCTCACATGTTGGTGACCATGCCTCTCACATGTTGGTGACCATGCCTCTCACATGTTGGTGACCATGCCTCTCACATGTCGGTGACCATGCCTCTCACATGTCGGTGACCATGCCTCTCACATGTTGGTGACCATGCCTCTCACATGTCGGTGACCATGCCTCTCACATGTCGGTGACCATGCCTCTCACATGTTGGTGACCATGCCTCTCACATGTTGGTGACCATGCCTCTCACATGTTGGTGACCATGCCTCTCACATGTCGGTGACCAAGCCTCTCACATGTCGGTTACCATGCCTGTGTGGTCGCACGTGACGCCCGACCAATCGGAGCACAGCGGCGCCGCTTCCCACCCCGTCAGCGCCACCAGCGCCGCCACTGCCAGTTCCGCCGCGGAAGGGAGGGGAGGGGAGGGGGAGGGGAAGAGGCGGAAAGGAGGCGGAGAATTACACACAAAATTTCATCTAGGGAGCGATTCTCGCGATATCCTCCCGTAAGGAATCGGACTCGATAACAGCTATAAAAGGAATCTGTAGGAAAAAGGGGGTGTTACAAAAAATCACCCCAAAAGGGGGGGTATATTGATAGAATTGGAACTTAACTGATTGATTGATAAGGAAGGCACGAGGCCTTAAGTACAAACACGGTTGGGTTGAGCAAAGCTAGGGAAAGGATGGGATGGGAATCCTAGCAAATCTCCAATTGGTGAGTTGGCAGATTTGCAGGATTACGAGGGAATCCCAACCAGATAGGGTTGGGGTTACAAATCTACACCCAACCTACAAAGTAACCTAACCGATATAGAATATAGTACAAAGTGTTGACTGACTATTTCTAACACACCCCCTAGGCTGACAACACTTCAGCCACATGGCGGTCCAACACCCATGGACGAGAGGAGGCGGTAGTGGTCTTGACGAACAAGAGACTTGGTAAACAAGTCAGCAAGGTTGCAGTCGGAGGCAATGTGTTCAGCCTTCAGCTGCTCGCGCTGCACCAGCTCACGAAGAAAGTAGTGACGGACTTCAATGTGCTTGGTGCGGCCGTGGAAGACGGGGTCCTTGGTGAGATGAATGGTGCTCTCGTTGTCACACCAAAGCGTTGGGGCTGGTTGAGGATACCCAAGTTCTGCCAGCAAGAAGGAGAGCCAACGGGCCTCCTGGGCAGCCATGGTCCCGGCATACAGCTCTGCCTCACAGGTCGACAGTGAGACGGAAGACGACCGAGTGGAGCGCCAACTGACAACCCCATTGCCAAGGGTAAAGCAATACCCTTGGGAAGAGCGCCGATCACTCTGGTCATCAGCATAGGACGAGTCACTGTACCCCTCAAGGCGAACAGGGGAAGAGCCGCCAAGAGTGAGCACATAGTCCTGTGTGCCTTTGAGATAGCGGAGGACCCGCTTGGCGGCAGACCAGTGGTGGCTCGTGAAGCGACCAGGTGCAACGTAGCGAGACAGGACACTGACTGGATAGGCCAAGTCTGGTCGAGTGCACATCATCGCGTATATGAGGGAACCAACGAGCTCGGGGTAAGCCTCATCGCAGGGCTCAGGTGAGGGAACAGAGGGTGCAGTGAGTTGGTGCTGCAGAGAGAGTGGGGTGGGCATTGAAGCTGCTTCCTGCATCTTGAACCTTGTCAGAACGTTGTTGATGTAGAACTTTTGCGAGAGGGTGATGGTGCGGGCCGTGCGATCACGTGTGATTTCCATGCCCAGATAGTTCGTCAGCTTCCCAAGATCCTTCATGGCCAGCTTCTCACCAAGTGCGGTTTTGACTGCTGCCAGCTCAGTCTGATCCTTGGTGACAAGGATCATGTCATCGACATAAACCAAGATGAAGAAGCGGGATGGTGTTGCTCGGATGAAGAGGCTGGGGTCAGAGGTATATGGGTGAAAGTCGAGGGACCCTAAGGTGCTCTTGAGCTTGTTGTGCCATTCCCGGGGTGCTTGCTTGAGGCCATATACTGGTCGATTCAGCTTCCATACAGTGCCTGGTGGAAAAGGAGCTGGAAATCCTTCGGGCCGCTCCATGTAGATTTCCTCTCGAAGGATCCCTTGCAGAAACGCAGAAGACACATCCATGCAGTCAACCTCCATGTCATCTCGAGCGGCCACATCGAGAAGGGTGCGCAGTGTGGGAGGTTTGGCAGTGGGAGAGAATGTCTCAAAGAAGTCCAGTCCACGCTTTTGGGTAAATCCCTTGGCACAGTACCGGGCTTTGAAGACAGGAAATTCGCCTGGAAGTTGTTTCACCCGGAAAACCCATTTTCCCTTCACAATGTTGACGCCGGAGGGAGGAATGATATCTGTGAAAGTCC